GGACACAGTGGCTCACGCCTGCAATCCTAACACTTTGGGAGGCCGAGGCAGGTGGATCACTTGAGGTCGAGAGTTGAAGACCAGCCTGGCTAACATGGCGAAACCCCGTCTCTACTAAAAATACAAAAATTAGCTGGGTGTGGTGGTGGGCACTTGTAGTCCCAGATGCTCGGGAGGCTGAGGCAGGAGAATCACTTGAACCTGGGAAGTGGAGGCTGCAGTGAGCTGAGATCGCGCCACTGCACTCCAGCCTGGGGAACAGAGTGAGACTGTCTTAGAAACAGTCTCAGCCAAGCATGGTGGCTCGTGCCTGAAATCCCAGCACTTTGGGAGGCCGAGGCAGGCGGAGATCGTTTGAACCCAGGAGTTCAAGATCAGCCTTGGCAACTTGGCGAAACCCATCTCTACAAAAAAATACAAAAATTAACCAGGCGTAGTGGTGCATGCCTGTAGTCCCAGCTACTCAGGAGGCTGAAGTGGGAGGATCATCTGAGCCCAGGAGGCAGAATTGCAGTGAGCCGAGATCATCCTGGGCCACAGAGTGAGACTGTCTCCAAAAAAAGAAAAAAAAGAAAGAAAGAAACAAAACCAGAATCTCACTCTGTTGCCCAGGCTGGAAGATATCACCTCTATGTGGCATCTACACATAAAAGTCAAAGTCATAGGAGAGAAGCAGAGAAAATTGTGTTCAGGAGATATTGATCAAAGGGTACAAAATTCCAGTTAAACAGGAGGAATAACTTCAAGAGCTCTATTGTACATCATGGTGACTATAGTCAATAAGAATACGCTGTGTACTTAAAAATTGCTCAAGAGATTTTGTGTTCTCATCACAAAAAAATGTGAAGTATCATGCCTGTTATCACAGCACTTTGAGAGGCTGAAGTGGGCAGATCACCTGAAGTCAGGAGTTTGAGACCAGTCTGAGCAAAATGGTGAAACCCGTCTCTACTAAACACAAAAAATTAGCCGGGCATGGTGGCAGATGTCTGTAATCCCAGCTACTTGGGAGGCTGAAGCAGGAGACTCGCTTAAACCTGGGAGACGGAGGTAGCAGTGAGCTGAGATTGCGCCACTGTACTCCAGCCTGGGCAACAAGAGCAAAACTCTGCCTCTTTTAAAAAAAAAAAAAAAAAAAAAAAGTGAAGTAATACATATTTTAATTGGCCTGAGTTAGCCATTCCACAACATACACATATTTCAAAACATCGTGTTGTACACCATAAATATATACAACTTTTATTTGTCCATTAAATATAAAATGTGACGTCACCTGATGTGCACAGCATCATCATCTATGATGCTTTCTTGCCAAAATATTTAACTGGATCTTATCAAAACTTTAGAATGACTCTCCAATTTACAGAGGATGCAGGATACAGAGGAAAAATTAAATGACACCCCCAGAAGGCAACACTCAGATGAATCCAGAAGGTGAGACGTTCTCCAGGACAAGCTTCTATGGTAAAGGGGAAGAAAGCGTGGTGCTAGGTTGGAAGAACCTGAAGGACCTAATGGCCTCCAGTCACATATACCCTCTGCCAGCTGTACAGGACTTTTGTGGACAAATGGGAAATTTATTGATGTGAAAAAATGGATGGTTAACTGACAGAGGTTACAAAACAGCATTATAGACCGGGCACAGTGGCTTACACCTGTAATCCCAGCACTATGGGAGGCCAAGGCAGGTGGATCACTTGAGGTTGGGAGTTCGAGACTAGTGTGGCCAACATAGCGAAACCCCATCCCTACTAAAAATACAAAAAATTAGCTGGGCGTGGTGGCGGGCAACTGTAGTCCCAGCTACTCGGGAGTCTGAGGCAGGAGAATCACTTGAACCTGGGAGGCAGAGGTTGCAGTGAGCCAAGATCACACCACTGCATTCCAGCCTGGGCAACAGAGTAAGACTGTCTTAAAAACAAAAACAAACAAACAAACAAAAAACAGCATTATGGTATGATCCCACTTTGGTAAAAAATACATATAGTGTATGTATAAACATGTAGAAAAAGACCTAGAAGTGGCCTGACGCAGTGGCTCACACCTGTAATCCCAGCACTTTGGGAGGCCAAGGCGGGCGTATCACCTGAATCAGGAGTTCGAGACCAGCCTGGACAACATGGTGAAACCCTGTCTCTACTAAAAATACAAAAATTAGCCAGGCGTGGTGGCGGGCACCTGTAATCCCAGCTACTCGGGAGGCTGAAGCAGGAGAATCGCTTGAACCCGGGAGGTAGAGGTTGCAGTGAGCTGAGGCTCTTTTCAAAAAAAAAAAAAAAAAAAAGACCTAGAAGTATATAAAATAAAATAGGGTTCAACAATGGAGTCTGAGTTGTGTCAGTATTTTCTTGTTTTTATCCTTTTATATTTCCCTCAATAGTGCACCACATATTCTCCTCTGGTTTTTGTTGTTGTTTGTTGTTTATTTTTTCTGATTTAGTAATGAAGTTTTTTTAACATTTCATTTGGAAATAACATTGATTCACAGAGAACTGCAAAAATAGTATATAGAATATCAAGTACACTTCACCCAGCTTCCCCCAAGTGTGACATCTTTTTTTTTCTGTTTTGTAATTTTAATTGAAGAAATTGCTTTTTTTGTTGTTGTTTTGCTTTTAAACAGGGTCATCAGCCTGGCAGTCACAGAGAACGCATTTGGCAACTTCCTGCAATTGTTGTGGAAATGACAGCAGACCATGTGGTCCAAACCAGAATGGAGAAGCCAGGCCTGGCAGAAGAAACCAGCAGGCAGCTCTGGGAGGCCATTTGCACAGAGCTTATTTTGAAGTCCTGGGGTTCAAATCCCAACTCCACCTCTGGAGAGTCACAACCCGCTGGATAGAGAATAGTTCAAGCAGAGTGTAATTTGAGAATAACAAAGGTGTGCCCAGGATATAAGGAAACCACATAAGCTAGTGTTGACCCATGAAGCACCCCCTACACCTGACGGGGCGGGCAGGAAGCAGTTACCCGAGCCTGGAAAGTCAGGTGGGGAAGCACTTGAGGGCCTGTGGCCTTAGACAGAGGCGGCCAGGCTGAGGCATGTGCCTTAGGGGAACACACATCTCAGCCTCACCCTCCCTGCCTCCTGGGGAACCTTGAGGCCACCAGACAAGGAGCTGTTAATGCAGTTCATGCTCCAGAAGCATGGAGCAGAGAGCAGAGGGGACAAGGGTGACAAGGGGATCTGGAGGCGCCAAGGAAGACACTGGCAGAGCCATTTATTGTGCATCTGAGGCAAGTCACTTCCCCTGCCCAATCTGTTTCCTTATCTGTAAAACTGGGATATTACCTCACTCACCTGAGGTGAAGAATAAATTATTTAAAACATACCATGGTGGCTCACACCAGTAATCCCAATACTTTGGGAGGTTGAGGCAAGAGGATTGCTTGAGCCCAGGAGAGATCAGCCTGGGCAACAAAGGGAGACACTGTCTGTACAAAAAAATAGAAAAATTAGCCGGGTGTGGTAGCACACGCCTGTAGTCCCAGCTATTCAGGAGGCTGAGGCAGGAGGCTCGCTTGAGCCCCGGAGTTTGAGGCTGCAGTGAGCTGCGATCACACCACTGGACTCCAGCAGGGGGGACAGAGTGAGACTCTGCCTCAAAAACTAAATAAATAAAAATAAAACATGAAAAGTACCTAGCATGAAGCCCAGTAGGAAATTTTTTAAAAGGTAGTTGTTGTTATTATAACTCAAGTGGGGAGAAATCAGGCTGAGAGAGGTACGTTAGAGTTGGCTGAAAGGTACGACAGCGAGGGATGTTTCAGGCAGCCTAACATACACTATGATAAACACCACCACACTCAACAAGCGGCCTCTCTCCCTATGAAAACATCAGGCCAACCTGGGCAGAGGCAGAAGACTGTACATGCTGCCATTTTAATATCAGGGCAAAAAAAAAAAGTTCTCGCCCACTCGGCCCACTCCCATCTCAACCCTTCCTACCCACACAGTAGGGCCAGTCTATTTTAGCAAAAGATCATTTAGTTAAAGGAGGCTGACAAGGGAAAGGATCCAGATTTCTCCTTTTCTGTCTTTTAAAAAAAAGTCACAGATATAAATAAGTCCAAGACGGTCTGTTTCTGCCACCTTCTAAACAGACCTGTGATGAATTAATATCAGGACCATGGGAGGCTGTGACCGAAGGATGGGTTAGGCTGGCTGCAGACCCTGCCAATTCCACAAGCCCAGGCTTTGAAGCCAGTTTGGAAACTAGCCATTGGGAAACTCCACAAACCTCAATTTCTCCCAGACAATTTTGGAGGGAAAACCCAAGTCAGCAAAGAATATGGAAATTACTGAGAAGGTATGAGGTCCACGGAGGCTGCATCTTAAAGAATGAATGCCATCGACCAGGCGTGGTGGTTCACACCTGTAATCCCAGCACTTTGGGAGGCCGAGGCGGGTGGATCATGAGGTTAGGAGATCAAGACCATTCTGGCCAACATGGTGAAACCCCGTCTCCACTAAAAATACAAAAATTAGCTGGACGTGGTGGTGCGCGCCTGTAATCCCAGCTACTCGGGAGGCTGAGGCAGGAGAATTGCTTGAACTAGGGAGGCAGAGGTTGCAGAGAGCTGAGATCATGCCACTGCACTCCAGCCTGGCAACAGAGTGAGACTCCATTTCAAGAAATAAAAAAGAAAGAAAGAAATTCAAATTTAACTGAGCATCCTATGTTTCAGCTGGCATCCCAGCTCAGGAATGACAAGAACAGTGCTGAAAGGGACACAAGCTACAGAGGTCTCCAACTGGTGGCCTCCAGGCCATATGAGGCCCATGCATGTGTGTTGCTCAGTCTTCACAGTTTATAAAATTGGAACAGGCTACAAACATTTTAAAGAACTTTAAAGGATTTCTGGCCTCTTTAAAAATGGGAAGCTCCAACCATGCAGGTAGAAGCTGCCCCACTATGGGAACATAATGGAGACAGAAGGGAACGTGGAAAAGTGAAAACTGATCACTGACTTGTTAGGATGGAGAGACTGTGGATAAATCTGTTTAGGGGTTTTTTATCACATGAGGAGTCTGTAAGTGACAGTGGCAATAGCCCACGCCTGGGGAACTGGCCCTCTGCAGGCTCCACTGCTGCGGTCCCAGAAGTGCTGGCTGCAGTGTCTGAAAAACTTGCCCATCTGCACCATCTCTGCCAGACAGACTTGGACTTCCCTCTTTCCAGGCACAAGATGAAGGCCTGTTGCCATGGGCTGGAGAAATCAGTCCCTACAGTACCCCCTGCAGACACAGGCTGGAGTTGCAAGTCCTGGGAGGGACCTGCTCTATCTTCTCTGGCAATCATGGCCACTACTAGAGGAACTCAGGCAGGCAAAATCTAAGAAAAGAAAAAGAAGATTGAGCCAATGGCTAATACATAGCAAATCCAGGATTTGAACCCAAGTCTAACCCCAGAGACTATGTTTGTTAACATTTTTAAAAGCACTTTGGGAGGGTGAGGCAGGAGGATCGCTTGTGGCCAGGAGTTCGAGATCAACTCCAGCAATATAGTGAGACCCCCTATCTCTACAAAAAATTTAAAAATTAGCTGAGTGTGGTAGCACACACCTGTAGTCCCAGCTACTCAGGACGCTGAGGTAGGAGGATTGCTTGAGCCTGGGAAGTCAAGGCTGCAGTGAGCTGTGGTTGTACCACTGCACTCTAGCCTGGGTGACAGAGCAAGACCCTGTCTCAAAAACAAATAATAAAAAAATTGCCATACAATAAAACTATTTTTTATTTTGCTGTACAGTTCTATAAATCTGGGTTTTTGTTTTGTTTTGTTTTCAGACGGAGTCTCACTCTATTGCCCAGGCTAGAGTGAAATCGTGCGATCTCAGCTTACTGCAGCCTCCACCTTCCAGGTTCAAGCGATTCTCCTGCCTCAGCCTCCCAAGTGGCTGGGATTACAGGCATGCACCACCACGCCCAGCTAATTTTTGTATTTTTAGTAGAGATGGGGTTTCATGATGTTGGCTGGGGTGGTCTCAAATTCCTAACCTCAGGTGATCCACCCACCTTAGGGGTTGGCCTCCCCAAGTGCTGGGATTACAGACGTAAGCCACCATGCCTGGCCCAGTACTATGAATCTTAACACATGTACACATTCATGTAACCATTACCGCACTCATGATACCCCAAAGACTTCCTTGTGCGATCCCTTCACATCCATATCCGCCACCCATCCTAACTTCTGGCAACACCATCATCTCTTCCCAATCATTATACCTTTGTCTTTTCCAGAATGTCAAATGGAATCACACAGCATGTGACCATTTGAGATTTGAGGCTGGCTTCCCTCACTCAGCGTCACGTCTCCGGAGTTCATCCAAGTTGTTGCACAATCACTAGTTTATTCCTTTTCACTCTGATGAAGATGACTATTACTGACCTAACCCTGTGGCCAAGCATTTAGAGGACACATTTTCATTTGATCCTCACAGTAACTCCAGGAGGAAAGACATGTTATGCCCACTTTATAGACAGGAGATCTGGGGAAGTTACTGCTGTCTGCCAGGAGCTGGGAATAAGCCCAAGCTCCAAACCGTTTGTAAAACGGCTCTGTTCCCAGAAAACGTATAGTGAGGTATGGGGGATATAATACCACCACCTCTCAGCTAAAATTCTGGAAGACATTGTGAATCTCTTATTTTTTCCCACAGCTTCCCAGAAATGCTTGTGTGGGTTTTTTTGTTTGTTTTTGTTTTGAGATGGAGTCTCACTCTGTTGTCAGGCTGCAGTGCAGTGGTACAATCTCAGCTCACTGTAACCTCCACCTTCAGGGTTCAAGTGATTCCCCTGCCTCAACCTCCCAAGTAGCTGGGACTACAGGTGCATGCTACCATGCCCAGCTAATTTTTGTATTTTTAGCAGAGACGGGTTTTCACCATGTTGGCCAGGATGGTCTCGATCTCTTGACCTCGTGATCTGCCTGCCTTGGCCTCCCAAAGTGCTGGGATTACAGGCGTGAGGCACTGCGCCTGGCCATGCTTGTGCTTTTACCCATGCAGTTGGTGAGGGTCTTAAGCAAAGGCCCTGGCAAATTAGGGGCCTAGGATAGTACTGGTTCACATCCCAGCTTCCAAGAACCACCTTCAAGGTGTATGAACTCACCAAACCTCCCTGAGCCTGTTTTCCTATCTATAAAATAGGGCAATAACAGAGTTGGGGTATAGATTAAATAAGGTAATAGCACAATATCAGCACGTGGCAAGCCCCCAATAAACCTCATTTCACAGACAAGGAAACTGAAGCTTATAGAAGGAAAGGACTCCTCAGTCAAGAAGACAAAGAGCTAAAACTAGACTGAAGCATCAAATGTTTGGTGGGACTTGTGGGAGCTAAAGCTAGAGACGGGTTGCAAATGGTTTGATCATTAGAGGCCTACAACTACCTTGGAGCTCAAAAAAGCAACAGCAAAGCTGAGACTATAGGTGTGGCTGGGAGTTCTCCAGGAAGCTGGCCCTTAGCTGGCAGGTATTTGGGGCCATTTCTGACCTCAGTGGTATCTCATCAACACGGAAATCCAGCAAAAGCATTTGAGCTTTTAAGAGCCAGAAATTATCTCCTTCCTGTATCCATTAGACTGCATTTAAGTAACATGCTGCAATTAAGCCAAAGGTTACAAATACAAGTGCCAGGCCAGGCACAGTGGGTCACTCCTGTAATCCCAGCACTTTGGGAGGCCTAGGCAGGTGGATCACTTGAGGACAAGAGTTCGAGACCAGCCTGGCCAACATGGTGAAAACCCACCTCTACTAAAAATACAAAAATTAAGACACACTGTGCGGGCGTCTGTAATCCCAGCTACTCAGGAGGCTGAAACAGGAGAATTGTGTGAACACAAGAGGCGAAGGTTGCAGGGAGCCAAGATTGCACTCCAGCCTGGGAGACAGAGCAAGACTCCGTCTACAAAAACCCCAGAAATACAAGAGCCAGACTGGCAGAATCAAATGCATGCTCTGCCACTTACCAGCTGTATAACACACTATACATACACATATACAGATGTATATACACATGTGTGTATATAGCATATGCATAGGCAGTATGTGTTAGGCAGTAGGTAAAAACATGGCCAGGCATGGTGGCTCATGCCTGTAATTCTAGCACTTTGGGAGGCCAAATAGGGAGGATCCCTTGAGCCCAGGAGTTTGAAACCAGCCTGAGCAACATAGAGTCTCTATTTAAAAAAATTAAAAACCAGGTAAGGGAATAGAAAGTGATAGGGAAGATGATTGGTTCCCCAGAGGGGATATTTGAGCAAATGCCTGAAAGACACAAGGCAGACAGCCATGCAAAGCTCTGCAGGTCTAGAGCTGGTCATTCCAGGCAGAGGGAAAAACAAGTGCTAAGATACTGAGGTTGGAATAATCCTAAAGGAATGGAGAAGTCAGGGGGCCCACGTGGCTAAGATTGAAAGGGAAGAGATGAAGTTGGGAGGTTAAGGGAAGGGGAAGGTCATGTAGGCCCTGATGGACTTTGGCTTTTACTGTGTGAGGTGGGGAGACACTGGAGGTTTCTGAGCAAAGAGCTTCATACCTAATTCAGGTTTTCACAGATCGCTCTAGTTCCATCTGAATTGACTGTAGGGAGCAAAGGTTGAAGTAGAGACCGGTATTCCAAGCTTGTTTGATGGTCTGTACCAAGGTGGTAGCAAAGAAGATGCTAAGAGGGGGTGGGTTTAAGACGTATTTTGAAGGTAGAACCAATAGGATTTGCTGAGGGATTCACATGGTACATGAGGTTGATTCCACAGCTCCTGACCAGCTGGACTGCTGGTGTTGCCAATACCTGGGAAGGGAAGATTATAGGAAGCAGACTTGTAGGGAATGGGGTTAGGGGAGTGAAGCATCAGGCATCTAGTTTTGGACATGTTAAGTCAAATGCATGTTAAGTATGAAAATGCAGATTGGGGCCAGACATAAACACTTCAAATGCTGTGCAGAGAAACTGAAGTAGACTTAGGTAATGGAGATGACTTAGATAATGACTAAGGTAATGGAGATGCCCATGTCAGGACCTTTAGAGTGGGCATTACAGAGCTGTGAATTTACTGCTTTGTAGCAAGTTATCTCAAAACCTAGTGGCTTGAAGTACATTTCCCATAGGTCAGAAATCCACGCACAATCTGGGTGGGTCCTGTTTCAAGGTTTCTCACAAGCATCTTTGAGAAGTCTGCTGGGGTGGCAGTCATCAAGCCTCCGCTATAGAAAGTAATCCAACCACCATGTGTACTTACAAACTTACATGGTTGTTGGATTACTCCTCCCACACTAATGGTTCACCCTCAGTTGACTGCTACATTGGCCTCTCCCAACATGGCAGCTTATTTAAAAGTGAGCAAGCTAGGCCAGGCGTGGTGGCTCATGCCTGTAATCCCAACACTTTGGGAGGCAGAGGCCTGCAGATCACTTGGGGTCCAGGAGTTCAAGACCAGCCTGGCCAAAATGGTGAACCCCCTCTACTAACTATGTAAAAATTAGCCAGGCATGGTAATCCAAGCTACTTGGGAGGGTGAGGCAGGAGAATTTGCTTAAACCCAGGGGGCAGAGATTGCAGTGAGCTGAGATCTCAAAAAAAAAAAAAAAAAGTGAGCAAGCTAAGGAGAATAAGAAAAAGAGCTAGTAAGACTCAGAAGTTACACTAGGTCCAGCCTAGTCAAGGGGAGGGGATTCTGAGTCAATACCAGGAGCCATTTTAGAAATCTAGCGGTCCCAGGCCAGGCGCAGTGGCTCATGCCTGTAATCACAGCACTTTGGGAGGCCGAGGTGGGCAGATCACAAGGTCAGGAGATGGAGACCATCCTAGCTAACACAGTGAAACCCCATCTCTACTAAAAATACAAAAAAATTAGCCAGGTGTGGCGGCAGGCGACTGTAGTCCCAGCTACTCAGGAGGCTGAGGAAGGAGAATGGTGTGAACCTGGGAGGCAGAGCTTGCAGTGAGTCGAGATCACTCCACTGCACTCCAGCCTGGGAGACAGAGCGAGACTCCGCCTCAAAAAAAAAAAAAAAAAACTTTTTAGAGGTCCCATCTTTGAGGTGATATTTTAAGATACTTAAAATCATCATTGATAAATGATACAGCCTATATTTGCAATTTTCTATGAAGTTTATAAACACAAATACCATAGCCCAAATCATCCTTACTCATCTCATGCAACCATTAAGGCCCAATACCCACGATTTAACATATACAGTCTTGCACAGGTGTAAGCATACAAGTGAGATACCTTTGTATTGACCCTCTGCGTCTCTGCCCCTGGAGTTCGAATTCTGGCCCAAGTGTGCTTGCTTATTCTTAGGTTTCCAATGCAGAAGCCAATCATGAGGCACTTAACACCTGTGGAAAGCCATGCTTTGCCCACAGAAACCAACTGCCCACTAGGGTGATTTTCCCCTCAAAAAACTAAAACCAAATGAAACTGCAAATACCCAACTACTACTTGTTATTCCTGTTCAATGGTTATCTCCAATGGCCAAACAAACAGCATTTTGATTTAAAAGATTTTATTTTCTTTATCCAGGTAGGCAGTTAGAAATTTCAGCAAAGTCTAACAATGACATTTTTCAAAGTGGGCACAGCCTTTTAAACCCAGGCTATGTATACAATAACCTTGTGGAACTGGTTCAGCCAGATCTTCACTTTCATGAAAGCACAGGGTCTGTTCTTTTCTTTCCAGAGGACTCCTCTCATATTCCTTCACCAGTTTCTAAGAAAAGAAGGTGGATTACAATCAATGCTCCATTCTGGTCTATAGTGCTTCTTGTTGAGGGTATGAAAATACGTATGTGACTAAGACCTGGTCACTCCAAGCCCATCCCCTTTATCGGTACAGCCAAGTACTGATAAAAGGAGCAGGGAAACTTCCCAGTCTCTAATAAGACAACTAATTCTGTACTTTTATTGAATCCCATATTGTACCTGTGTTGGCAAAATGTTTAACCTTCATCTAAAAATGACTTCATGTCAGGCCGGGCGCGGTGGCTCAAGCCTGTAATCCCAGCACTTTGGGAGGCCGAGACGGGCGGATCACGAGGTCAGGAGATCGAGACCATCCTGGCTAACATGGTGAAACCCTGTCTACTAAAAAATACAAAAAACTAGCCGGGCGAGGTGGCGGGCGCCTGTAGTCCCAGCTACTTGGGAGGCTGAGGCAGGAGAATGGCGTGAAACCGGGAGGCGGAGCTTGCAGTGAGCTGAGATCCGGCCACTGAACTCCAGCCTGGGCGACACAGCGAGACTCTGTCTCAAAAAAAAAAAAAAAAAAAAAAAGACTTCATGTCACAGTAAACACAGAAGACAGAAACCCAGAATGAGGACACTACCAGTAAAAATCTTTTAAAGGATGAGAAGCTGAGCAGTGGGGTGTGTGGCTGTAGTTGCAGCTACGGAGGATATTGAGGCGGAAGTTTCCCTTGAGGCCTTGAGTTTCAAGCAATCATGCCTGTGAATAGCTACTACACTCCAGCCTGGGTAAACGTAGCAAGGCTGCAACTCTACAAAAAAGTAAAACATTAGCCAGGCACGGCAGTGCGTGCCTTTAGTCCCAGCTACTTGGGAGGCTGAGGCAGGAGGATCAAGGACGCAGTACGCCATGACTGCACCATTGCACTCCAGCCTGGGTGCTGGAGAGACCCCATTTTCTTAAAAGAAGAAATTGGATACCTTTGTGTTCATTCAAGAGACAACCCAAAAGTAATGTGTACTAAAGACATTTTAGGGGCAAGTAAGGATACTTTAATAAAGTTATACCAGGCTTAGGATCTATTTAACATCTTAGAGGGTCATTTTATATACAAGAAGTCTTATTACATGAATGTTGGACTTTAGTGAACTATGCACATTCATACATCCATAAACAAAATACAGTTAGTATTTTGTTTCCATAAACAAAATATAGTCAGTTAGTGATGAATCATCACTAACTGACATGAACTACAATTTCTTTTTGAGGTTTTGGTTTTTTTATGTAAAAGTTGGAGAATTATCACGAGCCACTCATCTATGATGGCAAGCTTTGCAACACAGGTATTTGGTGAAAGAACTTCCCTGTGTTAGTGCAATTTATTGAGTGATTGTAAAGGTCAGCAGAAGGAAAGCATACAATCATGTCTCAGACCACAGTATGCTTATCTGCTATAAATTCCAGCCACGTGACCAGACATGGAGGCAGTGTCCCCAAGGGACACAGAAAAGGAGTGGTGTTACTTTCTCTTTAAAGGGGGTGGAAGGTGTAGACTTCAAACATCTGTCTCTGCTATGTCTGTCTCTCCCGGGTTCGCTCACTGACAAAGCTGCCATGTTAACAGGCCCATGTAACAAGGAGCTAAGGTGGCTCATGGGCAGTAGTGTGAGGAATCTTACACCTGAACCTCACAAGAATTAAGTAAATTGACTCCCAACTTAAATACAACTTGGAGCTCCTTATCTAAGTGCATTGGCCAAGGAAAATTAGCTCCACCCAATGTTCAATCACTTTGTCATCCTTTCTTACAAGACTGTTAGGTATGATGGGTTTCTCTTCAAAGTTTAACTTCCTTGTTCTTTGGTCAACTTCCTCATAGTTCCCACTCCTGATTACCCATTCTGTAAACATTTCTCCCACCAATTCCAACCTGTAACCCGCATCTGTTCCTTATTTGGAAAAGTCCCCCTTACTCCTAGCAACCAGCTCTGTAAACTGCTCTTCCCACTGCTGTAACCCACACCCCTCCTGTTTAACATAGCCAATCGGCCCCAACACTCTTCCCCTTGAGGGAAGTGCCCCTTGGGAGAGGAGGCATCGGCGTCATAAATGCCCCCTTAACCAGCTCAGAAGTCCCAAATCTAAAAAAACACTCAAGCCCTTGTTAAGATGACCCTTATGAGGTAGCAAATCAAATTGATCAATTTTTAGGACCCCAATTGTATGCTTGGGCCAAGCTTATGTCCATTTTAGGCATTTCCTTCTTAGAAGAACTATGATCCATAGTGTTGCTATGGGAGTCTGGGAACATGAACACCCTACCGGTCAAAATGTTCCTGCTGCAGGGCAAAAATTCCCAGCCCAAAATCCCAGTGGAGTAACAACGCAGCTCACCGAGAAAATGAGAGACCTTAGAGATATGATAGTTAGGGGAGTTTGGGAGTCAGTATCCTGAACTGAGAATATTTCCTGAGCATTCAACATACAAGGGATGGGTGAAGGACCCATGGAATTCCTAAATAGGCTTAAAGAACAGATGAGACAATATGCAGGTTTAGAAATGGAAGACCCACTGGGGCAAGGGATGCTAAGGCATTTTGCTAAGATTTGGCCAGACATCCCTAAAAAAAACTACAAAAGATAGAGAATTGGAAAGATCGTCCCAGAGACAAACTTCTTAGAGAAGCATGTAAATAGGGACAAAGAACAGCAGAAAAAGGCAAAAATCATGCTGTTTACCTTACAACAGGGAGCTCTGCAATAGGAGACACAAGGAAGTAAAACTTATAAACCCTCTAGGCCACCAGCAACCAAACTCTATACAAGGAGTAAGGGAATAAAACCTGGAAGTCACAGTGCAGGACAGGGAAGAGGGGAAAACAATGTTTCAAATGTGGAAGAGTAGGTCACTTTAAAATGCCCCAAATGGGAAAAAGAGAAAAAATATCATTCCACTTACGGCCTTTGAGGAAGAACAGGGAGGTCAGGGGCTCTGTCTCTTTTACCTGCATCCCACCAAGAGCCCTTGATAAATTTAGAGGTGGGACCCAAATGTGAACTTACAACCTTTTTAACAGATTCAGCTGCACCTCACTCCTGTTCCCTCCCATCTATCACCTATTCTTCAGAAGAACTTTCTATCTCAGGGATAAAAGATTTAAAGCAAAAATCTTAAAAAGACAGAGGTCAAATACAAAACTCGATCAGCCCATGTTAAATTCCTGTTAGTCCCTGAGGCTGGAACTAACTTATTAGGAAGAGACTTAATGCTAAAACTAGGTATAGGCTCACATGTTGGCCCAGAGAGATTCCTCATCTCATTAAATCTACTTACCACCACAGAAGAAAAATACATTTATCTTGATGTACGGGCAGGAAAAAGAAATTAGGGAGGCTGGGCGTGCTGGCTCACGCTTGAAATACCAGCACCTGGGAGTCCAAGATGGGCAGATCATGAGGTCAGGAGTTTGAGACCAGCCTGGCCAATATGGTGAAACTCCATCTCTACTAAAAATACAAAAATTAGCTGGGCGCAGTGGCAGGCGCCTGTAATCCCAGCTACTCAGGAAGCTGAGGCAGGAGAATTGCTTGAACCTAGGAGGCAGAGGTTGCAGTGAGCTTAAGATCACACCATTGCACTCCAGCTTGGGTGACAGAGCGAGACTCCAACTCAAAAAAAAAAAAAAATCAGAAAAGACTTCAAGTCACTCCAACGCATATAAAGCTAAAGACCCCAGGGGAAATAGTAAGAAAAAGGCAATATCCCATTCCCCTAGAGGGCAGAATGGGCTTAAAGCCTGGAGTTGAATGTCTCATTCAGGATGACTCCCTGAACCCTATGTCCCCCTATAACACCCCAATATTACCTGTAAAGAAATCAGACAGGTCATATCGACTAGTACAAGATCTCTGGGCTATCAACCAAACAGTCCAGACTACCCACCCTGTTGTCCCCAATCCTTACACCATCCTCAGCAGAATGGTTCAGAGTAATAGATTTAAAAGATGCCTTCTGGGCATGCCCCTTGGCTGAAGACAAGAGACATACTTTTGAGTGAGAAAAATCCTCATTCTGGATGGAAGCAGCAGTACCAATGCAGAGTCCTACCCCAAGGGTTTACAGATTCACCTAATTAAATCAGGACTGCCCCTCGGAAAGATACTGGCCTCTCTATGAGAGGACTGCCTTATTTACACTCTACTACTGACATTCCTACCTTTGAAACAAAGGATCAAATTATATACTTGGTTTTATCTTCCACTTTCTCTTCCCTCAGAACTAAAGGTCTTTTAGCACAGATGCCACCTTTACAGTTCCTGGCACATCAATACCAGCCTGGAGATCACATCCACATCAAAAGCTGGAAGGAGGAAAAACTTGAGCCAGTTTGGAAAGGACCATACCTAGTACTCCTAACAACTGAAACAGCAGCCTGAACCGCCGAAAAGGGGTGGACCCGTCATACCTGAGTCAAAAGAGGATCGCCATCTTCAGAGTCATGCGCTATTGTTCCAGGACCAATTTCTACCAACCTAAAGCTGAGAAAACTTTAACCCTCTTATACTGCCTTTTCTTTTTTCCTCTCTCTACCGTCAGCCACCTTACCATTAATGTAACTAGATCAAGCTCACCTCAAATAATCACGTTTGATGCCTGTCTTGTCATACCCTGTGGGGATCTCCAAAACCAGAGGCAGCTGGCCTCCTCAGAAAAGTATATCTGCCGTTCCAAGATAAATTCTAAATCCTCACACGACCCTTGCATGGGAGCTGCAACATTAGGGATAGACCCCATGAGATCTTTCGAAATGCGCTTCATTGCTCCTCCATCCCCTTCTTCTAAACAAACACCCAATGACAAAACCAAAGTGACCATTGTAGAGGTTAAAGATCTAAAGCAAACTCTACCAACTGTAACAGGGTACCAAGATGCAAATGCCTGGGTGAAATGGATTAAATATTCTGTCCACTCTCTAAACAAAGCGATTGTTATGCTTATGCACATGGTAAACCAGAGCCCCAGATTGTCCCCTTTCCACTCAGATGGTCCTCCAGCCGCTGAGGCATGAGTTGCATGGTAGCTCTCTTCCAAGACCCCACAGCCTGGGGCAATAAGCTATACCAAACTCGCTGCTGTTCCCTGAAGTCCCCTGAAGTCCGACACCCTGCAGGTCAGCCCCCGAGGGTCATCCAGCATCCCTCTTTCCAATGCCAATTTTACCTGTCTCTCTCACAGGGGGAGAACTTGGCATTCCTTGGAGACCTAAGGAGATGCAGTGAGCTTAAGCCCTTCCAGGAGCTTACCAATCAGTCGTCCCTTATTCATCCCCTAGCAGATGTACGGTGGTATTGTGGTGGACCATTACTGAATACTATGCCAAGTAACCTGGAGTGGCACTTGTGCTCTAATCCAATTGGCTACTCCCTTTCACCCTGGCATTTCAACCAGAAAACATAAAACATAAAAACAAAACATCGTAGAACAACGTATGTCCCTCGTGACTCTCATGTTTATATAGATGCCACTGGAGTCCCACGAGGAGTGCCAGATAAACTTAAGGCCCTAAATCAAATAGCTGCAAGGTTTGAATCCATGTTGTTCTGGTGGCTAACTCTAAATAAAAATAGATTGGGCCGGGAGCAGTGGCACACGCCTGTAATCCCAGCACTTTAGGAGGCTGAGGCGGGTGGATCACGAGGTCAGGAGTTTGAGACCAGCCCGACCAACATAGTGACAACCCATGTCTACTAAAAATACAAAAAATTAGCCAGGCGTGACGGCACACGCCTGTAGCCCAGCTACTCAGGAGGCTGAGGACGGAGAGTAGCTTGAACCCGGGAGGTAGAGGTTGCAGAGACTGCACCATTGCACTCCAGCCTGGGCGACAGTGAGACTCCAACTCAAAAAAAGAAGAAAAAAAAAAAAAGTAAGCCAGCAACATTTCATTAATTATACTAGGGATGCTATTAAGGGAATAGCTGAACAATTAGGGCCCACCAGTCAAATGGCCCGGGAAAACACAATAGCATTAGACATGACACTAGCAGAGAAAGGTGAAGTTTGTGTCATGATTGGAACCCAGCGTTGTACTTTTATCCCTAATAATACTGCTCCTGATGGAACCATAACAAAGGCACAAGGACTTACTACTTTATCCAATAAGCTAGCTAAAAATTCTGGAATAAACGACCTCTTCACGAATTTAATGGAAAAATCGTTTGGCAAATGGAAAGGATTTACGTCCTCAATCATCACCTCTCTTGCCATCAGTTCATTCTTGCAGGAGGCTGTATCATACCCTGTATCTCAGAATTAATACAAAAGCTTATTTGAACAGCTATCACCAAAATCTTCCTCAATCCTTCCTCGCCTTATTCAGGTAAGTTTCTAATTTGAGGACCAAGAGGAACAAAGACATGCTAAAAAAAAGTCTCAAGAGAAAGAATTATAAAAATCAAAAGGGGGAAATTGTTAGATACAATGGGTTTCTTCCTTATTCTTAAGGTCAACTTCCTCATACCTGCCTGCTCCTAGTTACCCGTTCTATAAACAACTTCTCCGGCCAATCCCAACCTGTATCCTGTTCCTTATTTGGAAAAGTCCCCTTCACTCCTAGCAACCCGCTCTGTAAACAAGTTTCCTGCCCTTCCCACAGCTGTAACCTACACCCCTCCTGTTTAAAATAGCCAATCAGGACTAGTTTAGATTGTGCTGTAGACTCTGGCCAATGGGGATAGAACACAGAAACAGGGACTACTTGCATTAGGGATAAAAAATGCCTCTCTCTTTTGTTTTGTTGGGTGTGCTCTTGCCAGGAATGCTAGCAACACCCTCCAGCAGAAGTAAATTTGCCTTGCTGAGAAATCTTGTGTTCCAGTGCTCGTTTTCTTTGCAACTCCAAGCTCTTATTTTCAACAAAGATCTATTAATACCAACAGGCCAATGTCAGTCCTAATGACTTATTCTTCCAGTTTTACACCCAACTTGGAAATGGGTCCTGAAGTTAGGCCCAGTTGGACAAATTTTGCTGTGGGGTTTGACAGCTAGAAAGCAGAAACCTCACCTGACTGAATCAAGCCAAGATCAACACACTGGTGCACGTGGCTCCCAACCTATAGGAAGTTAATAGATCAAAATAAGCCATCTGAATGCTGGAAAAAAGAGAAGCCCAATTCCCATGAACAAGCAATAATCTCTGATAAAGATAAGCAGAAAACAAAGATATGAGTTATTACTGGGGCCAATGCATCAGACAAAACTGGCCAATAGTGTAGAGATCAACAGGGTCGATCTGATGGGGAAAGAAGCTGTATCATCAGCTGCAAAGGCCACATTTGAGTCATACAGGAAGTAGGGTGACAAACCCACACTGAAAAGCAGCTACAACCCCCTCCATAGAGCCTATGTCTACTCAGCCAAGGAAGACATGTTGGCACCACTTACCGGTTTTATATGTATATATATATTCTATTCCCAACACCCGCATTCATCCTGGTTCAATCAAAGCCTGGTTTTGGCCAACAATAAACCTGAAATTAAAAAAAAACAGAAAAATGAGCTCCCATCAGTTAGATGCCCAGGGGAGATGGGACAAAGGAGCTACTCAAGCTGGCATATCAGACAGAAACTGGCTTAGAAAAGTTAGATCAACATGGTCGATCTGTCGGGGAAAAAAGCTAAGTCATCATATATGCCAGCAGGAAGTTCCTGAGTGAGGAGTAAGATTTAGTTGGTATGTTTGGTATCTGCAAATCTGCATGCAGGGTTTAAGCACCACTGTGTTGTATCCTGTAACTGACAATAATTTAGTAGACAAAACACCCGTCTTCGGTGCTTCCACTCTATTTGAGTATATAGGCCCATGATAGAAGCCAGCGTGGCTGGAAGACTTGAGGAAGTAGTCGGCATTTACTGAGTTGGGAAGTGAACGAGTGCCAAGAGGTTGCATTTTAACACAAGTTACCTGACAAAAGAACAATCTGGAACAATAAGCTTCACATGTGTTCCCATGAAGCCCAGACTTTATAAATGCCTCACCCCTGGACTCCAGCAAAAATATTAGTTATGTAGTCGGGCACTGGTTTGAGGGGCTAGTTCAACAGAAAAACACATTTGGCTTTCCAAAATATGTCAATAAATCACCCCTCCACTTGGAAATTTAAGTGCCCAACACACAGGAAGAATGGAATCCAAAAAGATGTTTAAGTGGCATTAAAATGTTGAACGCCTTTTCATTAACAAGGTTCTTCCACTTTAGGCATTTCTCTTAAACCTGTTTCTTCACCAGAAACCTAGGTCCAATAGTTAAGTTGTCAGAATAAAACATTCATAACATTTTTTTTTTTTTGAGACGGAGTCTCACTCTGTTGCCCCCGCTGTAGTGCAGTGGCGCAATCTCGGCTCACTACAACCTCCGCCGCCCGGGTTCAGGCAACTCTCCTGCCTCAGCTTTCCGAGTTGCTGGGATTACAAGGGCCCACCACCACGCCCAGCTAATTTCTGTATTTTTAATAGAGACGGGGTTTCAACACGTTGGCCAGGCTGGTCTCGAAATCTTGACCTCAGGTGACCCACCTGCCTCAGCCTCCCCAAGTGCTGGGATTACAGGTGTGAGCCACAGAGCCCGGCCGTCAGAACACTTTAAATACCTAACGGGTACTCGATAAACACTGCTTTATTAAATCCCACCTTTTCCCAGGAAGCTAAAGCTTCTCAAAGCACGTGTTTTCTACAGTAGGCCCATAGGAGACAAAGTCTTACTCGTCAGGAGATCGAAGGTTGTAGATGTCTGCACGTGGCTTCCTTGGAGGCCCAGTGGTGACTCCCTCCTCCAAAATCCATTCTATGCCCGCTGGCTGCTCTAACCTGTGAACCAACAAATAAAGGGCGTCAACCGCCATCTTCCCACGGTCAGAAATGAACTCAAGACCAAGCCTTTAGAGGCCGATGTATCAGAACTAACTGGCAAAATATAAGACGTCAGCATTGTCGATCTGATGGGGAAAAAAGTGAAAAGTCATCATTTACACCAGCCAAGGGCTTCTCAGGCCCGTGCAGAAGGCACTGGCTTTTCCAGCTCTATAAACTCATTTCTCCCACGCCCTTAAGGCCTGTTTGGGATCAGAGCCGGAGAAGCCACGAGAGGCAGATTAGGGCTGGCCGCGGAGACGACGGCACAAAGAAGGGAAGGGAGGACCAGGGGTCTCCAACGAAGAACATGGAGTTTCCACTCACCACCCACAAAACGGGAACTCACGGGCAGGACAATAGCGTATGAAGCCTGGCTGTAAGCCACACAACCCCGACACCCCGAGCGCCCCCGACGCAAAAGAACGAATGGGCGCCTAAACCTCCCTTATATAACCAAGGATGGCTCTCGCACCTGCGCACTGGATCCGAGGCGTTCTCTTTTCCGCCCGCTCCGCGCGGGCCCCCCCTGGGAAATGTAGTCTCGAGCCGCACAGCCCGAGGCGCTCTAGTAGTTGTCAAGGCCGCATCTAGTCCCGCCCCCTTCCCTGTACACGCTGGGCCACCCGGGCTCGTCTGCTTCCCCGCCATGTCGCGCTTCACACGCACCAAAGCGCTCGACGGGTCCCCCTTCCTCTGGGGCCGACTGAGGCCCGCAAAGGCTCTGGGCGCAGTCATCCCGCCCCCTGCGGTCCGCTCCCCTCCGCCGCGCCCGCCTGAGCCCGCCGGCTCCGCCGCCCGGGGGAGCTGAGGTGACGCCCTCCTCTAGGGCGGAGGCGCAGGCTGTGCCTGGGCCAGGCCCTCGCGCTCTCCACCCGGGGCCCCCGCCTCCTCCTTTTCCTCCTCTGGGCCGCCCGCCCGGCTCCGCCCTGGGTCTGCGGGGAACGGAAACCGAAAGTGCGCGGCGCCGGGCGGGGCCACCGACCTGCCTGGGCCGAAGCCCCAGCACTCGCCGGCGGCAGTGAAAGGACGCGCCGGAGCCGGGTGAGTGGCCCCGCAACTGCCCCTGCCCCTGCCTCTTCCTTGCCCCGCCGCGACCCCCGGCGCCCGCGCCGCCCCGCCACTGCTTCTGCCCAGAAGACCTGTCACCCTCTCAAGCCCTCAGCGCCCCTGTCACCCGCTCAGAGCCCCTGGCCCCTCAGCGCCCCGTCGCCCCCTCAACCCCCAGACCCCCGTCACCCACTCAGCCTTGTCACCTCCTTAGCCCCCGGGGGCTTCAGCACCCACTCAGAGCGCCTCTCAGCGCCCCGTCGCCCCCTCAGACCCAGACCTCCATCACCCACTCAGCGCCCCGTCACCCACTCAGCCCCTGGCCCATCTCAGCGCCCCGTCGCTCCTTCGGCTCCCCTGTACTCTCTTTAGTGTCCCCATCCCCTCTCAGCTGGCCCGTCGCTCTCCCCAGCACCCCCGACACCATCACCGCTTCTGCCCTCAACACTTCGATCTCCTCTACCCCCAACCCTGTCTGTGCCCTCCCTTCTGCCACTAGCACCCCCTCATTCCTCCGGCCTCACCACCTGTCACCTTATCAATCCCCCTCTTCTACAAAGCACCTCGGCACCCCCTTCAGCCTGCTCCCTGCCCCCCACCTAGGTCCTCAGCAAGCACCCCCAGCTGCTCCCTGCCACCCTCTCCGGGAGGCCCCCATAACCCCGCCACCTCACAGCCTTGGCGCTCCCTGACCCCATAACATTTCCATTAGGGACAGTGGGGTTCCCCAGGAGCCTGGAGATTTTCCCCAAACCCAGCTCTGCCTCCGGCCTCAGCCTCCTGCGTCCCACCCTGGTGATGACCAGCCCCTCTCATTCTGAGCCCAGGCCAGCTTGATCATCACTGATTTTCTTCTCCGTGCCCTTTAGGCCTTGATTCACCCCCCCAAAAAAAACACTTCAGTCTGTTTTCGATCCCAGCATTTCCTGTTCATATCTACTCCTCCCTTCCTTTCCTTGCCTTTTCTTTTTAACATTTCTTTTTTTCTTCCGTTTCTTTAAATTTTCTGGAGTTTCTATTTTAGCATTTTTCAACAAGGGGAAGAAGGAATTTTCCCCTCAGAGAATTGAAAATAAACAAACAAACTCTAAATACTGAGCCTGCGCCAGGAGGGCTGGGTTTGATAAGATGAGGGAGGGGACTTACCAGAGATATTCCCATGGGGAAGAAAAGAGACTCCTTTTTCAGATGAGGATCAAAGCTGCCCCTCATATAATGCCAAATGTAGTCACAGTTTCCAAGTATGAATATTTTAAAACTCGGTGAAGACCGTCTCAAAAATCCCTTTGCTGAGGACTCTGAGTCACCCACTCTTTCCTTAGACCCGCCCACACAATGTGTATGAGTTGGGTTGAGAAGTTCCCTTAAAGGGGCTTCCTCTTCCTCTTATAGGAGCAGTGTCAAAAATCATCAAGGTAGAAGAATGAGGAGGAAGAAAGAATATCAGATTTCCAGTTGGTCCTGAGGAAACAGCACCTCGTAGTTGCCAAGCCTCCTGGTTATTGAAACGTGTAATTTCTTTCTCTTGATTCAGTAGAGCAGAGAGCTTAATCATTTGGCTCCATTCCAAAGAGTAAGCTAAGGGGATAACTGCTCACTAATTATTTATAAACTATAGGGTACTGCAAGCTATTTGGGTACTATGTAAGTGGCAGATTTGTAAATGCCAGATAGGGTGGTGACTACATGATTTTGGATTAACAAAAATGTACTCCTTTTTGCCCTGGCAACAATATTATCTGCTTCTTAGGAAAGGAAAATGAAACCTAGCAACTGATTAAGTAACTTGGCTAAAGGCATAAACGAAACAGCAGTTTTGAATGGGAATTGATGACATTCCCTCTACCCCAAGAAAGTGCAAGGGTAAAAGAAAGGGGAATTCTATCTCTTGAAATCAGCTAAATTGTGAATTTAATATTTTATATCATAACTGGGCATTTGCAGAGTTGAGCACTTGTGCTCTAGATTAAAATCTGTATTTAACCCTTAGTTAACAAATCATTAAAATGTTAACAAAGGCAGAAGGACTGGCTTGATGATGTTGGGGTTTTTGCTGCTAGATGCTGTGTTTCGAGGACACTGATAACTCAACATGTACAGTTTTCCAGATAACAGAAAGTAACGTGGAGGAATTCAGGTGACTCAGACATGGAGGAGAGAAGGCCGCATCTGGATGCCAGGCCCAGGAATTCCCATACCAACCACAGAGGTAAGCAAGGTTTCCTACCTAATGAGAAGGAAATTCTAGTAATAAGAAAAGGAAATCAGGCTCTCTATGAATGAGCAGGCCTACCTAAGATTATCTGCATCTCTCAAGTAAAGAATGACTATAGCTGGATGCAGTGGCTAAAGTCTATAAGCCTAGCACTTTGGGAGCCTGAGGCAGGAGGATTGTTTGAGCCCAGGCGATTGAGACCAGCCTGAGCAACATGGTAATAGCCTTTCTCTACAAAACATATAAAAATTAGCCACATGGTGCTGCGTGCCTGTAGTCCCAGCTACTTAGGCTACTGGGGAGGCTGAAGTGGGAGGATCCCTTGAACCTCAGGAAGGGGTGGGTGCAGAGGGCAGAGGTTGCTCTGGACTGTGATCTGGCCCCTGCACTCCAGCTTGGGTGACAGAGACCTTGTCTCAAAAAAAAAAGAATGACTTATTTCTTAATTACAGCGTGAATTACTCTGAAAAATAGCCAACCCTCCGCTTTTCCTAAGAGAACTGATGAATGGATGCAGTTCACTGTAACAAAAACAGTGATAGAGTTTCAGAAAGGGAAGTAATGTTTGGTGTAGAGCAGCATCCAACAGAAACAATGTAAGCCAAGAGCATAATTTTTTATTTTCTAGAAACATTTTAAAACGTAAGAAGAAAAATGAAATAAATTTATTTATCTATTTATTTATTTATTTATTTATTTTGAGATGGAGTCTTGCTCTGTTGCCCAGGCTCGAGTGCCGTGGCACGATTTCAGCTCACTACAACCTCCACCTCCCAGGTTTAAGCGATTTTCCTGCCTCAGCCTCCTGAGTAGCTGGGATTACAGGCACCTGCCACCATGCCCGGCTAATTTTTGTATTGTTAGTAGAGACAGGGTTTCACCATGTTGGACCAGGATGGTCTCAAACTCCTAACCTCAGGTGATCCACCCACCTCGGCCTCCCAAAGTACTAGCATTACAGGCGTGAGCCACCGCGCCTGGCCTTGAAATTTATTTTTTAAATTTGATGACAATTTAATAAAATTTAGTAATTTAATAATGTCTTATTTAACCCAGTATAACCAAAATATTATCATTTGATTGTAATAATTGACTATAGTTTATTATCATACTTTAATAATTCACATATATTTATTTCCTTCAAATACTCATTTTAAGATACTATCAACATAAAAATTTTTAATGTAATGCTTAACAGTCTTTGGTACTAGCCTTCAAAATCTCCTGTGTGTTTTACACATCTTAATTCAAAGTAGTTACATTTCACAAACATAGCAGCCACATGTGGCTAATGCCTTTGTATTGGATAGTGCAGATCATGAATCCTAGTCACCAAAGCTAAATTAGTTCCAAGAGCATCACTCTACTAAAGGAATTATTCTGCTTGCTCAACACTTTCTAAAACTGAACAACCAAATGGATTCCTGTTTTTCCGGAAGTTTGCAATGTGTTTTCCAAAGAGTTTTAGTTGTGCAACAAGTGAGGAAGAACTATGGGCTCTTATGAGCTACGTGAATGGTTTGTTTTTTTGTTTTGAGACAGGGTCTTGCTCTGTTGCCTGGGCTGGATTGCCATGGCACAATCTTGGCTTACTGCAGCCCCGACCTCCTGGGCTCAAGCAGTCATTCCACCTCAGCCTCCCAAATAGCTGGGACCACAGGCATGCATCATCACGTGTGGCTCATTTTTGTGTTTTTAGTAGAGACAGAGTTTCTCCATGTTGCCCAGGCTGGTCTGAAACTCCTGAGCTCAAGCTATCTGCCTGCCTTAGCCTCCCAAAGTGCTGGGATTACAGGCATGAGCCACCACACCCAGCCATGAATGCTGAAAGAATAAATGATACGATTTTCCATTCTTCCATGACATAGAGTCTTCTAATCAGATAAAAATATTAAAAGTAGTACTTTCTTCTGATTTTCGGGGTAGTTTGAAAAGTAAATATGTGAGTAACAATTGTACAAATTTAGGGTTCAGTTGTAGATCATTTATATTTTACTGAATATTCCTTTATGTTGTCACATTAAAATCTCAGCCGGGCACGGTGGCTCACACCTGTAATCCCAGCACTTTGGGAGGCCAAGGCAGGCGGATCATGAGGTCAGGAGATTGAGACCATCCAGGCTAACACAGTGAAACCCAATCTCTACTAAAAATACAAAAAATTAGCCGGGTGTGGTGGCGGGTGCCTGTAGTCCCAGCTACTTGGGAGGCTGAGGTAGGAGAATGGCGTGAACCTGGGAGGCGGAGGTTGTAGTGAGCCGAGATCGTGCCACTGGACTCCAGCCTGGGTGACAGAGCCAGACTCCCTGTCAAAAAAAAAAAAAAAAATTCTCTACAAAATGCAAAACAAGGGAAAGTGTACATAAATGGATTTAGTATCTGATGTCAGGAAATGGTATAATCATCTCAAATATAACATGCATTTAGAGCTTTTATAACTTTTTAACCAAATCATTGTATACAGTCATATTTTATTTGTTTTTAAAATCTCCATGTCATTCTGCTAAGTTAGGTCAGCCCCTGAATCAGTTTTAGCAAAAAGGAAAGTGAAAAAAACTGGACTTGGGTATGCTGGGCTTCCTGTATAAGGGTTGGTCATTGGTAAGTACTATGAGGG